ACAGCAAGCCAGATAATCGTCCGTTTATGAACAAAGTAGTTGATGAATTAAATGCAATTATTACAAAAGAGAATAAAATATATTATGATCAAATTAATAATAAAGAATCAAACCTTCAGTCATCAGAACAAAAAATCAATTTTAGTATGAATAATTCATTACATGGGGACTTATCTCAATTGATTCAAAACTTTAATCAAATGAATGTAGAAGTAAGGTTGAATAATGAAACATCTGTCATCATTTACGATGATACTATTGAAAGATTAATGATTACAGAACTTAACAAAGATATATTAAACGTCATAGGAGGAATGCAAAGATATCGTAAATTAAAAGTACTCGACTGTAATAATACTAAGATAACCAGCTTACCAATCTTACCCGACTCCTTAACAGAACTCTATTGTGGTAATACTCAAATAAATAGCTTACCAACTTTACCCGACTCCTTAACAATACTCGATTGTAGTAGTAATACTCAAATAAATAGCTTACCAACTTTACCTGACTCTTTAACAATACTCGATTGTAGTAGTAATACTAAAATAAATAACTTACCAAATTTACCCGATTCTTTAACGGAACTCTATTGCTATAATACACAAATAAATGGCTTACCAACTTTACCCGACTCCTTAACGAAATTCAGTTGTGGTACTACTCAATTAAATAGCTTACCAACTTTACCCGACTCCTTAACAATACTCGATTGTAGTAATACTCAAATAAATAGCTTACCAAATTTACCCGACTCCTTAATGGAACTCTATTGTTGTTATACTCCAATAAATAGCTTACCAAATTTACCCGACTCCTTAACAAGACTCAATTGTAATGAAACTCAAATAAATAGCTTACCAACTTTACCCGGCTCCTTAACAATACTCAATTGTCGTAATACTCCAATAAATAGCTTACCAACTTTACCTGGCTCCTTAACACTATTCATTTGTAGTAATACTCAAATAAATAGCTTACCAACTTTACCCGACTCCTTAACGGTACTCTATTGTAATAAAAATCAAATAAATAGCTTACCAACTTTACCAAACTCCTTAACAAAACTCAATTGTGGTACTACTCAAATAAATATTTTACCAAGTTTACCCGACTCCTTAACGGAACTCTATTGTCGTAATACTCAAATAAATAGCTTACCAACTTTACCCAACTCCTTAACGAAACTCAATTGTGGTACTACTCAAATAAATAGCTTACCAACTTTACCTGACTCCTTAACAGAACTCTATTGCAATAATACTCAATTAAATAGCTTACCTTCTTTACCAAAATCTTTAAAAAAACTCTGGTGTTTTGATACACAAATAAGTAGATTACCAAATTTACCCGATTCTTTAATGGAGCTCAAACCTGTATCTTTATATAAGCGTTAAATATGAATGAATTTTTCATCATTCTTCTGTCTTTTAATTATTTTTCAGCATTTAATGTATTGTTTCAAAGTAGATATTCATTTTCGTTCTCTTCATTAAATTTAACCCAAATCCTCTATTTTTTAAGTGTATTGGTGCATAAAACACACCCGTCTTTTTATATAGATAGCACGTATTAATCATATTATGTATGTTATGACATATTTTAGAGATTATCAACTTTTATTTATTGTTGAAGACAAGAAAGATAAAATTATTGAAAAGTTGTGGAAATTATTTTATAAAATTTTATAAAATAATTTCTAAGAAAATCGAATCCCGCTATCTATTGCAATTTTCGATAAATTTATGTAAATACCCAAGGCTAGGCAAATTTGTCTGATTTCATATTTTTATTAATATTGAAAACTTAGAAAAATCATGTTTTATTTTATTAAATGCACAGATAGAATAAATCGTTGCCAAAACTTATCTGAATACAATGAATTTTTTTTTAGTTTGGTAGTTGAGAAAAACTTCATTGTTGACTTAGCGAAGTCTTTAAAGTCTCATTAAGGTGCAGCAATATTTATAGGGCACTATAAATAAAAGAAGAAATGCTTTATAATATATAATTATTAAAGGATATTTTATAAAAAACTGTTATTGAATATTCCAGGATCAGAAAAGTTATTCAGATAAAATTATACATATTTGTAAAATTGATACATAAACAAAAAAAAATAAACAAGGTGAACCTGTCCATAAAATTTCTTATAAAAGGATAAAACGTTTTAGCGAAGCTAATTATAAAAAAACAAATTAAAAATAAAAATAAAAAAAGCAAACACAATCTATGAAAATATTATATAATCTATTATGCAATTATCCAAAATACTCTATAATTCTATCAATATTCTATGACCAAGTGTTGTCCAGTTAAAGTTAAACTATTAGAAAAATTAAATAAAATAGAGCAAACCTGATCCATAGAAATTTTTATAAAGTTCGTCTATAACACTTCTGTTGATTATTCCGCGATCAAGTGCGTTGTTTAATTAAAGTTAAACGTGTTAATAATGTTAAACACAAAAAAAAAACACTAAAAAATAGCAAAAATCGATCCTTGGAAAATTTTCTATAAAGTTCGTCCATTATTTCACTCAATTAAGAGCTTTGTCCAGATCAAAAAAAAATGCCATTTAAGTACTTCTATTATGCAATAATATAGTACCATTAAATATTCACGATCAAGATTATTGTCCAGTTAAAGTTAAATATGTTATTCCTTAATTCCATTTTCCATACTTTATTTATCATAAATAATTAAATACCTTATATTTATTATGAATTTCTCGCAATATTTTATTTAAAAAAGGTAAATGAGTGAGAAAAAAAATGTAAACTAGCTCGAATACACTATTTTATAAATTACTTTTGGCGATCACGAGAATCGGTGTCGCATAAAATATTTTACTGGAATGTTGATTTAAAAATTGCTGTATTTTGAAAGCTATTAATTAAAACGTCAATTTTCAAAATTCTCATTAAATAATCTATTAATAGTTCTAATAAAGCGTTTAAAACAGAAAGATATTAGTTATCTGTTAAAGTTTTAAATTTAGAAGCTTTGTTTGAAAACTGTTAAAAATAATAACATTTATATTATCAAATTTAAATTTTCTTTCAGCATTTAAATATTAGGGAGGTTTGCTATTAAAATCGAATTACGGAACATATGATTTTTATGTTCGTAACTCGTCAACTAATTAAATCAAAACTATATCTAGTCCTTTAATAAAATTTACTATTGAAGATTTTTGTGAAGCACACTTGTCGAACCTAATTATTCGCTACTATTTTTACGATTTATTCTATAAATCTTTAAAGTTTAATAACTTCAGTTTAAGTTAGCATTCAGACAAATTCAAACTGTAAATGAATACACCTCGCTTTCTTGAATAACAACAAAGAAAAAATTATATATATACAAAAAGATTGATTTATTCTTGAATTTTAAATAATATTTTTTTTTTTTTTAGGAAATAATGAGCTGTTACATGAAAGAGACAATAATATGGAATGTTTTTGTAAAATTTGGAGCGAAGATATTATGAAGAAACTAAAGTTATTAAAAATTTAATATTAGAGTTTTTTTAAATTCTGCGGCATTAATTTCTGCCGGTTAATATATTGTAAAGGAAGGATTTCGAAGTGTATGTATGCAAAGGAATATAACAAGGGTGAGCGTGGAATGTTGAGCTGATTAAGGATTTCCGGCTTGTAATATAAAAAAAATAATTTGACCGGCCTGGCATTTGTGACATCCTGTCATACTGGCACCTTGACAACCTTGCGCCCCGACAACCTGGAATCGTGCCAGCCTGGAAAATGACCTTCAAAGACTACTTACAAATATCGAAAACGATTCTCATGCGGAATTACGGAGATTTCGGGAATTGCATTCAATTGTTCGGAAATTATGCTGAAATACGATATTTTGAAATTTTACTTTGAACAAGATTGTAAAAAAAATATAATAATCTTTATAATATTTAATAATATATTATTTATCTCCAAATCACATTTACATTAATCAATCAATTTATAAAAAGCTTTTAAATATGCTGAACTTTTCTATTTTATATGAAAAAATCAATCTTATTAGAAAAATAATTTTCAAATAATTCATCTGCTACTCTAGTTCACTTTGCATCCAATGTTTAAATCCTGCGTATTTATGTTACCATTAATTTTTCAAATCTAAATTTTACTTTGCTTCTATCTTTTAACTTTTATTCACGAGCTTTTTTAATTGACTCAAATTAACGAAGTTGACCCATATAACAAAAGTAGTCATAGTTAATCTTTATTTACTTTCGTTATATTTGTTATTTATAGTTTATTTACTAGAGTATATATTTTATATTTATCATAATTATCATATTTATCGTTTATATTTTATTTATTATATTTTATTATTAGTAGTTTATTTTATATAAATATATTGTATTTTCCCTTGAGTTGAAAGATAGGGATCTAGGATATACCAAGAGTTCACTTATCAATTCATTTGCTATTACCTTTTGTCGTGCCTTCATATAGGCGTGATTGTGATAAAGTATTGTGTTTAATTCGACGTATTGAATTAAAGTAAATCGTTTTTGTTTACAGTTACCAAGCCAACAACGGCTTGAAATCTGCGGCATTTTCCGATAAAAAAAACCTAAATTTTAAAATTTAATGACTTGTTTTAAATTAAAATTCAAAAAAAAATACCTAAATGAATGTAATGTAATATTGCTTAAAGAATAACGTGATAGTTTGCTTTCTTGAAAAAAGATCCTTTATAATATTAAAATATATCACGAAGTTTATTTTATACTATCTTTAAATTGTAAATAAATTTTTTTTTTTTTTTTTTTTTGAAAGAAGACTTGTTACTTGAAAGAATGAGATTTTTAAATAATATTTCATGAAATTTGAGATGAGAATGTCAAAAAGGAACTAAAGTTATTAACATAGAAAATATAATAACTTTAATAAGGAATTTATTATAAATAGTTTTAATAGAGTATAACATAGCTTAAATACAAATAATAAATCTCTAATAATAAATTTTTGTTATACCGTACATATTTCACGATTGGAAAGCATAGATGAATGTCTATGTACATTTACCCTCGTCCCAATGACAACGCTTGCTACAAAGAGCTGACGGAGATAATGTTGGAGGCATGCATACCAAGCCTACAGGCTATAACATTTCGCATCATAAGAAGAGGACTTGTTGAACTAACAGAATGATCTGCCATGGTTCTACGGATTTCAATAATTCAAAAATTTCAAAACATGTATTACAAGATAAGATACATTCCAATAATAAGTCTCATTTCGTAAAAAAAAAAAAAAAGATATATACAAAGTCGTTATGCATATATAGATCGAAAGGTAGGCATTCATTTTAATTATTTTTTTAGATTACACTTTGATGGTGAACTTTACAGAATAAAATGGATTTTATTTAACTAGGACATAATCAGAATAGATTTCATTTATTTAAACCATTATATTGGACTTTTTTAAACACATGACATTAACGTTAACCTGAAGAAATTAATGGTCAAATTGAGCATAAAGTTAGAAGAAGCTCACATGTATCAATTGCATGTAATGTAATGTTTAAAGTAACATTACTTTGTGCGTGTATTTGATCACGCTATTTTATCAAGCATTTATTAAATGCCACGAATCGAATCCGATGAGATTTGCATCATGTTATAAATTGTTTGAAAATGATGGTAGAAAATAAAACATAAAACCATGATAGCTATAGTTCCGTTTTAGTTTCAACGGTATCAAATTTCAAAAGGTGTAGAATCAAATATTTGATCGAATCATAAACTTTAGTTTTGTTGATATATTAGTTTTCAAATCCATAAACATATCAATTATTAAAATGAGAAAATAATTTAATTCTGACTGGCAACATGCGGCAGAAATTATAATTAATTTTGGCGGATCTAAATTAAAAATAAACTATAAGTAATAATTAAATATTTGAAACGCGAATATATAATTTCAAAGGTTTCGACTTTTGTTTTTCGAACCCACAGACATCATTATCCCAAGTAAAAGACATTTCTATTTGCAATAAACGCGTACCTGAAGGTTCGTCAATTTCTGTAATAAATCGTGGAACACGTTCAAGTACAATTCTTTGAAGTTATTGAAAAGTCCTATATGTTATTTATTTATCCTTACTTTGAAAGATGTAATATACATATTTTACTGATATAATATATATATACTCTTTGTTCAATATAATCAACAAAGTGTGTGGTAAGCTTAAGGAAATCGCATTACCATTAAATGTTGTTATTCCTGAATTTTTTGACTTCATTAATCGATAGGGGAGAATAAAATTCTGGATTCAGAAAATCTTCAACTTTTTTTATGTCTCAATCCTCAGATGACGGAATAACAGAAATTCTTGAAGGTGGGAATCAGTTCAAAAATGAGAAACCTAATGTTACATAGCACACAGTGAAAAGTGGAATACATCACTCATATAATTCGAGCCCCTACGTAAAATAATTATTTCATAGATGGAACTCAAAATAAAATTTGGCTTCATAAAAAAAAAGTTCTTCTAAATGTCTCTTTCATATTTCTTATCCATGCCATCTCATATCCAGTGGAAGCATTTATTTCGATACTGCGCCAAACTTCAATAAATTTTGGTCAATGTTATATCAAATATGGACAATGATATTGTTGTATTCAGTTATTTCGTTTATGTATTTATAAACAATTTGTAAATGTAAGCAGAAGGTTTTATTGAGTAATTGTTGAATAAAAATGAAGTAATTATTACAAGAATTTATTTAATATGTCAAATTTAGTCAGTGTTGCCTCAACGTCGGCGCTCTACACTTCGCTTTTTCAATATATTAAACTAAATAAATGCCAATTTCTAAGTCTTAATTAATTAAAACTACGTAATTACGAAACTGTTACATAAAAATTGTATAATAAACTACTAATAAAAATCGGAAATTAAAAATAAAACAATAAACTGTGTTACAAAATGCGAAATTATAAAATTTAAAGGGCGAAAATCGAAATTATCGCGAAGGTGGCACAAACTGGCAAATGATCGTCAAAGGGACTAACTGCATTTATCAAGAGCGATCTTCAAAACGAAATTATGGAGATTTCGGCCGGAATTTGCATTTAATCGTAACAATATGTTAAAAATAAAAATAAAAATTTTTATTTTTACTATTATAAATTTCGAAATCACAATAAACACATTGTTAAATAATTATTGTAAATGCTTACAATTTTGTTCGGATTATTTATGGGTGACAAATCATAATAATTATTAATTTTTTTTGAAAAAAAGAATCTGCGTTAGTATTATGTTTTACTTTATGGATAAATCCAAATTTCATAATCTCCAAAGTTCTAATATTATAGATTAAAAACATGCACTTTAGAATAACCTTTTTTATTATTTAAACATGACATCATCAATTTTAATCTTCACGATGTAATATCAATTTATAATGACTACGTAAGAATTATAAAAGTTGTTTGGAAAAATGTGTTTAAGAGTTTGGATTTTCTGTTTCTTTTAAAATAAAAAAAATGACATAAGATTATTTCCAGCGTAATAGATAATTAATAAGATAATTAATATATATATTTTGGTCCATCACATATTTATCATTACTTAAAATAGTGTTTTATTCAGTCCTTTCGTTTATGTATTTATAAACAATTTTGTAATTTAAGCAGAAGGTATTAATGAATAGTTATTGAATAAAAATGAAGTAAATGTGACAAATATTTATTTAATAATATCAAATTAATCAGTATTTCCCCACGTCGGCGCTCTACACTTTCGCTTTTTCAATATATTAAACTATGTAAATGCCAAGTAATAAATTCTACGAAATAATTACATAAACATTGAATAATAAACTACTAATAAAAATCGGAAATTGAAATAAAATAATAAACGATGTTACATATGCGAAATTATAAAGTTAAAACGGCGAAAATCGAAAATATCGCGAAGGTGTAAAAAGGAGGATTGCGAAGGGAATGTATTCAAAGAAATATATTAAAGGCGAGCATGGGATATGGAGCTGTTTTAGGATTTCCACTATGTATATAAAAAAATATTAATTAAGCCATCCTGGCATCTTGACCATTTTTCATACTGTCACAGCCTGGCTGGCAAGTAATTATCAAAAACGATTTACATGCGAAGTTATGAAAATTTCGGCCGGAATTACATTCAATCGTAACAATAGCAAGTATTAAAAAATTAATAAGTCATCAGTGAGAAATTCATGAAAATTTAATGTTAGAACAGCGTATATAAATTTTGATCTCTAAAAACAAGTAAAATAAAAGTTCTCTATTAACTGTACCTAATTTATTATATTTTATCTTTTAAACTAAAAATTTTCTTCCAAGAATTGCGGTTGCCGATCACATTTCACAACATTTCACAAACACATGACGATTGTTAATCTTTTTTTTTAATTAAAAAAAAACCCGTTTATAAACCTGGTTGATCGAAACATATTTAATGTAATATACAGACCCTCGCCAAAAGTCTCCGGACATTTTTTGGCTCAATATAAAACTTGGAATTTTTAAATTTTATTAAAAAATATTTATTAAAATATTTATTAAAGTACGATATGCTACACATCTAGTACTAAATAATTAGTACTGGTCGGGCCTTCATTTGCTTCAATCACAGCCCGAATTCGCTGCGGCATACTATCGACCAAAATTTTCGATAGTTTGTATCGGAATTTGTTTCCGGGAAATGATAATACAGCATCCAAATATTTCAAAGTAGGCCTTATTGAAGATAATGGAAAAGTTGTACGAGCATCTGATACTTGTAAATTGTACACCCAAAGTATTTGCATTAGAAAATAAAGGTATTTTAGAATGGATATAATTTATTGAGATACATTGTTTTTGGGCTTGGGTTGGAGAGTGTGCATCAGAAACTTTTGAATGTGAAATAAATTAAATTATCCTATACCAAGGATGATAGATTTAATATTTTGCTTGATCATATTGATTTTATGAATCATGGGTTTAAATAATCTCATAATTAAAATGTTTTAGACTTTATTGCCTTCATTGCCTAATAAGTTTTGAGATCTCGAAATCCAACTTGCAAATTTAGTTATATGAAACCATGTATCAACAAATCGTCAAAATTATCTAAAACATCGAAACCCATCGATATCCGTCGAAATTGCCGAAACTGTCTAAAAATTATCCTCGAATGCAAATGGAAGAATCAACGACACATTACTGAATTATAACATTAATGTACACCACAAAGTTCTGCTCAATAAATTTTTTTTAAGGACTGATGTAATATTCGTATTATATTGAAACACAATCAACATGCCCAATTAAATTTTTAGAGAGTTTCTAATATCATGTAGAAATTACTTTGGCATGAAGAAACCAGCCTAAAAATCCTTAACTGTTACAGTCTATTAAACATTAAATATTTTCACAGACTGTGACACTAATTTAAGCAATATGCAAATTTATTCAAAACCTTCTATTTAAATAAACTTTTTTTTTATAAAAATAGAAAATAAAATTGGTTATCTACACGGTTCAACGATTGGTAAATATTTTATACAATTTTTTTTTTTAGCAAATTATTAAATAACGTGAAATTCATGCATTCCAATCTCACACAATGATAAAAAATATCATACTTTTAGCAAAACAATATATTATGAATAGTTAGGATCTTTAGATTCAACTCGCCATGTTCCGGAGGGGTTTTCTCTTCCTTGTCTTTTCCAGAATTTCAATATATTCTAATAAATGGTTTATAATTTCGTGAAACTAACATGCTGCAACGACAATATATAAATATTTTAATTTTGTGATATGTTAATTGGTAATAATTATTTCATGCAATACACAAAATGTAAAGTAGCGAAGAAGCTGAGTTCGAATTTAAATCTAAGATTAAGTTTTAGATGATGAGGCTATAAAACTTCGACATCAGTGAAAATAACGGCAATACTCACCAGTGTTGAAACTAATCAATTTCTTGATTTAATATGTTATGTCGTATTAGGATTTATTATATTTTAAGGACAGTTTTAAATTGACATCCTCTAAAGAGAAATATAAAAAAAATTAAAAACTTCAGTAATTACACTTATTCTTCCGCAATTAATACGTGTTAACCATATTGTTTTTTTTCTTATTTTCGATATACAAAATTTTTTGATATCGTTAATCTTGTATGTAAATTTATGGTACATATAAAAATGTTGGTACATTACACAAAATTAAGATTTAACAACGAAGGTCGATTAGGTTAGAATGATTAAAATTTTAATAATATAATAAATATAATGTATATGACGTATTATTATAAATTTATCACTACCTCTTTTGCTACTCAAAGAAGTATCGCAACATTCTGCAGTGCCGGTCCATTAAGAATGTTTGCTTTCTTCGTCAACAAATTTAAGTCCTGAGGATTCTTCATATTGCCGGAGACTTCAAATTCAATCAAAATATTAAAAAGTAACAGCTGGTTACTACGTAAATGCGACATCAGGGTACACGATATTATGTACGGATCATATGATTTACACATATTATTAATTATAATTCAATAAGGCCATAATATCACTTTATTTTAATGTCAATTCAATATAGTAAAAAAATATAACTGAGATAGAATTTTTCATAATCTATTTATGAATATTTGTATATAAAATATATAAAATAAAATTATTTAACATATAATATTTCATAATTTACATAGTCAAAAAGATCAATTACTAAATAAAAAAGAACTATAACATTAAATATTTTTTTCCTAACTATTTGGTAAAAAATAACAATTAATAATGACCTTTATAAGAGATAAAATATCTATTTTGTTTCGATATTACATGTCAAATCCGTGATTTGGAATAGTCCATTTACAAATGTTAACTTCAAAATCACAATTAGGTTTGTTATCAACAGATGATTGTAAGGTAGATTCTCGATTCGCAAACATGATTGAATAAGTAGTACTTCCTGCGATTCTGTCAAAAGAGTCCAATGTAAAACACCAGATTCCATCGGAAGAACAAAAACTTCGTCCTTCTGCGTCTTCCCCACTGAAGTTCAAGCAATTGTTGTATCCAGTGTCTGCCCGAAAGCATACATCACCGTTGAGATTTGAAAATCCAATTTCCGTAACGAAGCTGGACATAGTTCCTGCAACTTCGACATATGTAGCAATAGCAGCTGGCACACAGACCATAAACGTCAGGAAATGAATAAATTTGGTGAACATTTTGAAACAAGAAAATTTTGGTTGTATTAATTTGTATTAATGTAGAGTTCTCCATGCTAGTTATATAATTATCCGGTGTGGCTCTGTTTCATTGATAAATCTAAATGTTTTGGTAAATAGTAAATAAAGGCACGAGCAATTAAATTGCGCAATATTTTAATTCAAATAATTCGCAATATTGCGCAGTTACTTCGCGCAATATTGTAGTATATTCGGCTCAATTGTTGATCTGAGATTCCGGCGAAATCTGAGATTAACAGAATAATTTCAGATCCGAGATCTTGTGGCATATTTCTTCAGAGCGCAATTTTGGATCTGCAATATTTCGAGGAATTCTATCACGGAATCTCGGATTAATTTATTTAACAACATCGAACGCGCATCAAAATTAGATGCTTGTGATATGTAATTATTTCCCTTTTTTTAGAATTACAAATATGGAAAACACAATTTGAAGATTTTATAAAATGTTCACTCAAATTTTGGCTATACCTTAAAAGACAATTTAATTCCTCTTCAAGTGTTCTAAGAGAGATTCTTTCATTAGAAGAACCTTCAGAAAGTTATTAGTTTAACCTGATTAAATTTATTGTAATTCTTCATTAAGAGTTCAGCTATCTGTAATGCATCTTGAGTATCCCACAACTCCTCGTTTCATCTAGCTTGAATATAAGCGATATTAAAGAGACCTGAACCCGTCTCATTCTATATCAAATGTGCCTAGATTACTTAATTGATTGAGATATCTAATCCAACGAGAAATTTGATCTTTGATTCTTTTACTTGCTCAGTTTCGTAGATATGATCCTGTATTACTGAGGAGGAAGATGCTGATGATGATGAGGAATATATTAAATTAAAATGCATTAAGCTCAATTTTAGTCAATAATTTCTCATAATCTGATTTTCCTAGAAATCTTTCTCATATGTATTAATTTAGCGCTATATAAATATTAAAAATATTAAATTTTTTTTTAAAATTTTAAAGTTCTATTTTTATTTTTCATGATTTTGTAAAACCATTGTAAATACCGTAAAATAGAATTATTTGTTCCATTTAGTCCATTTTAAGAAGTCATAACTGCATCTTAAATTTACCATAAAAATAAATTATGATTACATATATTAATGCAAAATGTAGAAGTTTTAAAATGCATTCGCGATACCTTAATGACTAAAATACCCATTAATATACCACTAAGGAATTATCACAGCATTTTCCTAGCACTTTGAAAATTTTAGGGTTTCAGTAAAGATACAGTATTAAACTACTAGCGATGAATTTATTTTATTTATATTAAGTTTTAGTAATAAAATTGCACACACTACTTCGTGAAAAATAAAAGATCATGTGACCCCGTGAAAAATTTTTACCCACTTTTGCCAAGAGGAATTTTATCTGATTCATTAGTTTTAGATTGCCTCGTTATTTATATAGCGATAATGTACTGAGTATATTCCAGAAATGTGCCTAAAACGAACGGTCTTTCTTAAACAATTTAATTTCTAATGACAGTATAGCACAGTGTTAATTATGTGGTTTGTGGCATTTTAAACTGCGACTATATTTCGCATATACGGAGTTTACATTATAGAATTTTTTATTGATATATAACACACATCACATTACATACATATGTTTAAAAGTAAAGTAATAACAAAAACCTTTATTAATTTTTCATTATAATGAATAGTCATTAAATTTTTCGATGAAAACTGATGAACTAAATTAAAGCCCTGACACAGGATTATAATTTATTATATAATAAAACATTGCATTTGTTTTATTCGCATTTCTTTTTAATCACATTGAAAGACATAACCTGAGACGCATTGTGATTCCTTTAATTAATACTTTTATTTTTCAAACCGTCCAAAAAAATTCTTCCCAGCATCCAAATTCACCATATTAAGTTCTCACACATTTTCCAAATTGATACATATCAGATTGTGATGTATACTTATTACCCTTCGTGAGTGTAGAATGTCTCGTTCCTTAAAATGTTCAGACACTTCTAATCATCCATCCATATTCAAAATAGATAAGAACATATTTGTAATCTGATGACACCAGGAACAACAGAGAATATTGATAATCGAATTTCATGACGAACGTAACCTCCTTTATATAATCAAGTTAATCCAGCAAGCACGCTCCGTGATATTTCACGTGCTTATTCGTTTCTTAATCGACAAATATGGTCTCCCGTTTCTAATACAACCTTGTAAATTTATTGTCTACTAATATTGGGGTCTTCTTTTATTTTAACAAACCCCGGAAGACCATTTGCAACTCTGTATATTCCAATAAGAAATCGATACGATTACTCACGTTTCCGCCACATGAAAGATATTTCAGTGAGACCCTCTTCTCTACTATTATCATCATAGCCACCCGAAGGTAGTACCCAATCTACTAATTACTGGTTAACCACTTCCTTACTTGTGTAAGGGCCCCTGAGTTTGAAGACGTGAGGCAGCATCCATTAAAGACCTGTCAGCGAAGGCAAAGTTTCTGTCGATCCCTTGTAATCATCGATTTTTTCAATTTTCAACCTTACCCAAGAGGAGCGATCATTTCGGGGATAGTATTGCTCACAGTTCTCATTATGCGTGCCATATTGATTGTACGGAGGATGAAACACGTTCTCGGCGATTATTGATGTCCAATTGATTTGAAATGTAACTAAACGGCTTGGCGAATTTGTGTTTGGCGATCCATCAATTGCGAAAAAACACAATCTTTGTCCTGCTACGGCGTAACAATCATAAACTTTATATTTCCGAAATACATTGAATCGAACTTATTTAATTTTTCTTCAAGCTCTTCCACGGCATCTTGAAAATCTTTGACTTCAGCCTTCTCTTCGCCTTTAAATAAAAGTACATTTTTCGTCCAACATAAAAAATCTGGTCTATCATGTCGATCAATTTTAATTGGAAGCATTCCTCCACCAAGTCTCTCGTGAAAAATCTGGAGTGGGATTCTGATCAAACTATCTATGCCCAATGTATCATATCTTCTGTCCATAAGTAAATTGGAGATAGGTTACTTCCTGTTCACTTTCGTTTGTTTCAATAAAATCAACAAGCTGGTGTAACATAATCTCCTCGTAGAAGGATACGGCAGTGACCTTGTGCCGTTTGGCCAAGGTTTGTCGATTAGCCATTTGGCCAATTTGGCCAATTTGGTCGGTCAAAATGGCTAAAAAAATCTTGGCCGCGGCCAAATGCCAATCAAATTCTAATACATTTATTAATTCATTTATTAATATTTAGTTATTTGGCCAAAATTTGGCTGTTTGGCTATTTTTGCTATTGGCCACGGCCAGATTCCAACACTGAGATACGGGTAGCCTTCGAATAAATGGCGCAACAATATGAGTTTTAAGATCCTTCGCTTGACTTTGGATGGTCTCAAATGGTTGAACGAGTGCGTCGCAAATCAAGCCAGTCCTATCAATAGACATCTCATCGTAACTTCGTTTTGATGCTATTAGAAAAAAGACAATAAACTTAATTTCATTAATATAAGTAAAAAATAAAAATATATTATTAAGAAAAACTTAATAGGTTAGAAGGAGGAAAGAAACGTTCATTCGCGTTGACGAAATTTATTACGACTCACTTACCGGGTTGTTCTACGAAGCGTGAATGTTTTTTTGGGGCATGTTTGACGATAAGAAGCAGGAAAGAAGCGTAAAATTAGCATTCGGTATTATTAGCAAACATGACGAAAAAATGAGAAATTTACCAACAGCAGGTGTCACATTCTCTTTTTCATTATTTTATTAATCTTCTCTTCTAGAATTTCTGATGTGAGTAAGGTCCAGTATCATAAGGAAGATATATAGCAGATATCTCCTCCAGAATCAGCAGGATTTAACATAAAGTGGGACGTTTGCTATTAAAATCAAGTTACAAGTCATAGTAAATCATATGATCCATAACGTGATTTAATAGCAAACTACCTGTGTCTGGACGCTCTTTTCCATGTACGAGGGGACGGGGACGAGAAAACTCACTAAGCTCGTTAATATTTTCATATTCCTAAGAACATGTCAAAACACTAGCCTTTAACAGACGTTTTAATTCGACCTTCATTTGATTCCGGTTCTAGGTTATTTGACAAAACTCTCAGTTCATTGCTCAAATCACTGTGAGATTTACGTTCTGATACTTTCGGATATTTTTTTGAAAAAAACTGTCCCAAGTCTTTACGTCCCATTGATAATGAGTGGTCTTCCAGTACACAAAATAGGTATAAAAATATTGAATATTCTAGCATTATTAACGAGTGATAAATATACTCTTACCCCAATTAAAAACTTTGCTTTGACAACATTCGAAAACAAAAAAAAATATAAATAGAGAAAGGAAACGAAATAACATAGCACAGACGGACACGGTTGAGTTAAATTTTTTGTAGTATTATATACAAGAATCTTTCGTAACACAACGACACGTGATTTTATATCCGAAATGTGATATTATTATTGGACGCGCGCACAATTTGCCGGCGTTTATTTTAAAATCTGCCATGATTTCTGCGGCTTATAATCATCATTTCCGCGGATATTTATTTATAATTCTGCTCATTTCGGTCAAAAAAAGAAAAATTTTATTAATTTATTACCAAAAAAAAATTAATCGCCATTAAAATACGTCATATTTAAATGTTTCAAAGAACCTTCTGAAAGATTTTGACGATTATTATCTAAAATATTATTATAAATTGAGAAACTTCTTTCTACACTACAACTAGATACAAGTAACCAAATATTCGTAATTTATCTTCAAGATTCATCCAAACTAATTTTATCCAACTAAATTTTCCATTTGCATTTCACAATAAATTGCCCATTCACAAAGATATTCATCAGAGTGATTTGCTGATTCTCTAATGCAATTTTTTTTTTTTCTAAAATTCCAAGTAAAATATATTTAAGATCAAAATTTGCGTAATATGAAAAAGCAGACATGCAGGATGTGAAGGAATA